ACGTATAAGCACATACAACACAAACACCAAAACAAACACCTGCTCTCAAAAACAGTGCTTTTATGTTTGTGGACTCTGCATGCCCAAACTAGTTGGCCAGCAAGGATGGTGATAAGATCCCTAAGGTGGGGTAGAAATTGTGAATTATTGGTCCATTTGGGTGAAGAGTAATATCCCATGCCTAGATGTCTTTTCTTTTAGCATTGACGCACATGGCAAGTGGCTAAAACTAAAACAAAAAAAGTAAAGTAAGATAAACAAATTATTAAAGGCATTTTCTCTTCCTTTTTCTTGATGTTTCTTTGAATAACGAAGCAATTGAAAAGTATGAAATGGTTGTTGAGCTAATTGACTTGATTGACCCTACCTTGCTGGACCATGCACCAACAAAAGTCGGTTTTAAGTTCTTTGGACGGTGGAAATTTTTGTCATAGGCAAGGACCACCCAAGTTAAAAGTTAGGCACATAACTTTTTCCACATTTAGGACAACAATTACATGTGTAAGCATGAACAATATTTAGGTAAATAACATTAATGTATTTTAATGACACATTTTTAATTTCGAGTTATTTACACTAATACCCTTTGAGGTTTTCAGTATTTTCACAAAACCTCATGAGATTTTAAAAATTATACGAACACCTCTTGAGGTTTCAAATTGTTTTCACAAAATCCTTTTTGTTAATTGTTAGTCTAAAAATTGATGATTTTATACAAAATAACTCATGCAAATGACAAAAATTAACTTCTATGAATGCATGTACAATCTAATCTCAAAGGCTAACTTTGCCAGGATATTTTTTTTTATATAAAATCATCAATTTTTAGACGAATAATCAACTAAAACGGATTCTATGAAAAAATAAAATAAAAAAAATCTCAGAGGTTGTGCGTGTAATTTCTTAAGACGTGTTAACGTAAATAAGTCTTTCATTTTATTTATGGAATACCTTATTAAATAGTACCTTTTATTTTGATATGTTGAAACTCAATAACATAAATAAAAAACTGTTATTATTCCCACATACCAGTACTATTTTCCCACGAAATATTTTAGAATCATGTTTTCTGTTTTAATTGTTGGGTTCGATGTCCCTCCTTAAGTGGAGGTTTTCTTGGAATTCAATGGACTTAATTGACATTGGTTTTTGTTTAAAAATAAAAGTAAAAATTGAATGGACTTAAATTAATTTAATCTAAATTTGAACTTGGGTGCAGGAAGACTGGTTCACTGCCGTGCCCAATTGGTCATCAAACCACTTAATCTAATTTTTATTTTTGTTTCAAGCACAGTGGTTGTCATCAAACCACTTACATTCGGTCCCGGTTGGCTGGATGTGACTGGTGTTCCCCATCTGGGTTTCTGCCTCAGATCGCTTCTTAAATTGTGAGTGGTTTCAACTTGCATGAATATCTGATGAATTTAGCACTATAGTGTCCCACTAGGTGCCAAAAATGGTAACCCAAAAATAATTGGGAGTTTCATTAAAACACCCAAAATGGGAGCTGAAATTATAAAAAAACCCAACACCCAAAATACTTTATAAACACACCCAAAACCCATCATTACACACACGCAACCCCCATTTATAAACACACCCAAAAAATATACAATTGTTGACTTTGGGGTTGATTTTGGGTGTGTTTCTATGTTTAAATAGTGTTTGAGTTTTTTTATAAATACATGTCTAAGATTGGGTTTATTTATAAATTTGTGAAAATAATTTACAACCTATTTTGCAACGTCCTTGGTTGAAATAGATGTGGTCGTGCTAGTACGCCGCAGAAGGCCAAACGTACAACTTGTGTTGGTGATGCGATGGATATGGAAGTTGTCAAATGATTGTGGCCGAGAAAGGAACACCTCTATGTCATAGGCTCTCCTTGTACGTCATAGGCTTTCCCATCTTGAAAACAAAGCGCAGTGTGCTCTCCAAAGGTTAAATATATTGGATCCAAATAGTAAAACTTAACCTAGACTCGAAAGTGCAAGTGTACGTTGAACCATTTTATTAATCGCACATGAAGGTGATGGTGAAATCAATAATTTCGCAAAGATGTTGAGAACCACCGCATCTATTCTGTATTCTTGTGTATCCACCTCATCTTCCTTACATATGCATGTTGTATCCAAAAGTCAAACTTTGCAACAAGTCAGCTAGATACAGATTTGGAATGTCTGATATGCATCGAGGTGTTTTGGGGGCGTATTAGTATTGGATACTCCATGCCCGAAACTTTTGGAGTATCTGTGCTTCATTTTCTTGAAGCTTCATCATGGTGATAGGCTGAGCCCTGGATTTGTTCTTGAAGCTTCATTTTCTTCTAGTAGTCTGGATGATAGCTCAGGTAGAGTACTTGAATAATAGTGGAAATTGCAAGGCAAAAACAGATACATAAAATACTTTGCCAAAATCTGCTACATAATTTCTAGTGTCTGGATGCCCTTTAACCCTCTAAATATGATTTCTTTTATATGATAAGATTCTCCAAATGTGATTTACATCTTTTTCATGCTTCTGGTTCCAGGGCATAGGTCCTTCTATACCCTCACTCTATGGATTACTCTAATGATCAGTTGCAACTGGGACATGATGGTGATCTGATAGACTCTGCGCCCCTTCAGTGGACAGAAAGAAGACTGGTAGTGAGATGATGACTGCTCTTGTCAATAATGTATCTAGGATATTACATAGCATCAATGCTGGTGGGGAAAGATTGAGAGGAGACAAGCTCACACCCATGCCAATGAAATTATCTTGAAAGCTGAACTATTGTTTGGAGATGTGACTCTGCATAAAATGGATGTAATGAAAGGGCTTGTTCTTGACTTGGAAACTATTACCAAAGCATTATTCATGATCACATTCACAGCCAGCTCATTTTGAACTTTTTGTAATACTCAGTGTGAACTTTTACTTTTTTGAATTGCAAATACTTTTTTTTTTTCCTTCAATTTATTTATTTTTTTTCCTTCTTGCAATTTTGCACAAACACCTTAGTACACATGAATTCTTTGGGGTAGAGCTCAATCTTCTTATTTTCATCACTTTGGCACATCCTAAGCTATAAGGTATGGCTTAGAAATTGGTTATATAGGTTAAAGATAATAAGGGTGATGAAAGAAAGGCTAAGAGTTTGGTTACAAAATGGTTAACGACGCACACAAAAGGTAGGATGAAAAGCCTTTTAGTTGGTAAAAACATGCATAGCCTAACATCATTTCTCATGGTCCATCCCACTTGGAAGTGATGTACCTACAAAAGTAAGAACATTCTTTAGTATCCAATACAAACCTAATGAGAGCAATCTAATTAAGAACAAATTGAAGAGTGTTTAAGAGTAGAAACAATAAAACCCCTCTCAAAGAGTGGATTTTGGCTCAATATCTCACAAGGGTAGTCTCCACTAATATTCCATAGTCATTCGAGCATAGCAGCCTTGTCTACCAAAATATTACAAGTATGGTATTGTGAAGTACAAAGATTATAATGCAATAACCCTTCATGACAGCATATTAGTAAAGCATTCACGATCAAAATATGGCATTTATGTCTCTATTAGCAATAGCTTTAGCAAGAATTCACATTTTGAAAAAACTACTTCTTTTTAGTTTCAACCTCAGATCAATTTTCAATGACTATCCCACAAAGTACTACACGGAATTTGGCAAGCCTTATATGCTCAGAAAATAGACAAACAAACGCACAACTTTTCTTTCGACAAAATACTGAAAAACAGATTAGAACTACATGGAAATTGATGTTAAAAACAGAAAACAGTACATAATCGCAGAAAACTTCCAGTTCCTTAGAAACACAGACTTCCAAACGAAACGTCATAAAATTAAGACCCTTATATGGTTGGATTCAGCACAAAAAAAAAAAACTGAAGACAACAGCACTAGCCAAGTCTTCAAATCCATTACAGATGAAATTGGTTTAATCGAAACATAAACACCAACGTTTTGCATGACTCGAAAAAAACTTAAAATGAATGTTACCCACCTTAAACCTAAACCAAACATTCTCCTCAATGTTTAAAAAGAAAATAAAAATGAGGACAAGGAATAGTAAAAGTAATGAATGCACACAAACGAATATTAAAAATATAAGGAACGAAGGTACCTAGTTAGGTTGTCTCCCAACAAGTGCTTAATTTAGAGTCAATAGCCCGACTTTTGAATGTGTTTACTTGGGGTCATGGAGATTTTACCCAAAAAAGAAAAAGATTTCATGTTTACATATACCACATGTCATCCAGATGTATACCATTCAAACAAGATGTGCGTGACTAAAGTGTTATTGGTTGATGAGGGATAACCCAGAAAGAGTGATCTAACCTCTATATCAACACGTTATGTAATTAAATTGCATTATTAGGTAGCAGAGGTATAGGAGATTCATTTACTTAGTAAATTAGAACGTTGGTTAGGCATAATTAGGCGTGAGCATTGGAACCAAAGAATTGGTAAGAGTAGAACGGGACTAGAAAAAACAATAAATAAATAAATAAAACCTTTGTTGACTAAAGAGTCAACTTTAGGTCAAAAAATCGAACCAAACTTGTTTGGTCCAATTACGATTCCGATTTTCGTAGTGAGAAAGCCGGTTCAAACCTAACCAAACTGGCTGTGTGATTTTTATTTTATTTTGCCAAATATTTAAGCCCAATGTCAAATTCCCAAGCCCAATGCTCAACGTTAAAGCAGTAACACCAGAAAATAGAAGAAATAACAAAAAGGCCAAGAAATACATAGTCGAAAAATCGGAAAATCCCCATGGAAGAGACCCTTGGAGATGTTAGTTCTGGGTTGCAAGATTTGACCTTTTCCAATGTTCTTTCACATGTGGGAAGCAAAGTAACCCAATATAACCAACCAGTTTTCCAGTTGTTTTAGGAGATTTTATTTTTGTCTTCACAACTTATTTTGGACCATTAGATCAAATAATTTAAATCCCGCCGTTGGAAAAGTGGATGTACCGATGCAATGGCCGTATAGCAGAATTTTTGGTATAAAGGTGCTGGCAAAACAACCATGCGGAACCATATGTTGAACAAAATTTTCTGGAGGAAACAGAAGTGCTTACAAAGACCAAAAATCCGGATGCATCATAAAACAAGAGCTACTTTCTCTCTAAGCAGTTTCAGAAACATGTTTGTCCAAAAATGCCTTGGCTAGATTACTGAAACTGACACTCACTTCTTTAGCTGCAGCATATCTCTTCATGACATCAACCACCTCTGGCTTCATAATCTCCCCCTTGTTAGATGCGTTGCATAGATAATAAAGTGATCCAATTGCATAATTCACCTAACAATCAATTAATTTGTCAAATATTCTATATCGTCGTTAAAACATAAATCGGTTTTCATTACAAAGCATCGAGAATCATGTTGGTCAATCAAAATGTTTGTGGTGTATAAACAGTTTCAAATGCACACATTATTTTAAACTAGGTATATCGGCTCAGTTCAGAGTGCCTCCTCTTTTGTAAGAGTTGATCAGGTCCAACTTTTGAATCCCATCCCCAGGAAACAATTAGAAAAACCAATGAGAATTATGAGGCTATAAAACACACATGAACTACTCCTGCAACCAAAAAAGAAACAGAACAAGCACGGCATGTGCACACCGACACAAAGTACAAGTTCCTACTTACAGTGTTTCTAACTGGGCTTGATAAACATTGAATAACAAGAGGGATCCCACCACACTGAGTGATAACTACGGCATTTGCCGGATCTGCAACTTAAAACATTAACGTTAAAACTTAAAATAAATACACAACTCACATACTAGTGCTAGCTACTTACTAGCTACTTACTAGATGGTGTCTTAAGAAACTAGGAGTAGCAGAGTCAGTATAAGGATTAAATAGGTGAACTTACCGGCGCAGCAATTGCAAATTCCTCCTAAACCAAATTCCACCAGCTTCTCATTCGGTTCTGTTATGCAGTCCACAAAGAGTTCCAACACGTTGAGCTGTTTGTAATCTTAAAATGCTTATCAGGCTAAAATGGTCATGGAACTTTTATACCAAAATAAAAAACTGAATATCAAAATACGTTTTATACCTGCCGCAAGAAGGCATAGTTGTAAGGATCATAAGCAAAGTTGGCTAAATTAGCAACAATTTTCTCTTTTGTCTCTGTACAGAAAGAAAGGAACAAATAACTAATCAAATGACCTTGAAATGAATCAGTTGTCATCGACTCATCAGAAGAATTCTAACACCAGATACCCTGTCTCCTGCCTGAGATCACAAAATTATTGACACTCGGTGGAAATGAAGATCAAAATCACAACAAATTTTTCATTGCCAAGGTTGAAACTAGTGCTGCAAGTGCTAGGGTATCACTTGTAATCATGAAAATGCACAAATATAAGAAAGGGTCTAGGCACCAACATAGGCAAGTGATAAAATGCAAGGAACAAGGTTGAAAGTATAGGCAAGGGCAAGGCGATACCTTCATCATCTGTTGTATTCTGAAATTGAGAAACCAATTCCTGGAACAAAAAGGAAGACCTAAGCTGGATAATAATAAAATTTTCAATTAACAAGAAGACAGATTTTTAAAGTGTAGGGCCAGTTACCTGAAGGTATTGCAGCCTTGGAGTTCCAGATCTTCCAGTTCGCTCTTCTTGCCTCCGTTCATTCGTAAACATTATATGCCTCCGAACGCGAGGAAGAAGAAGAAGAAGAGGGGACGCCTGTTTTTCTCTTCTTTTTTTCCTAGGTTACTAAAAGAAGATAAGAAAAACGTTAAACAAATACGACGTCGTTTTGGCTAGGTCGGTGTCAATTCAGCACTAAAGACGCGCGCTGCCTTTGCTGCCTTTGCTGCGTTTCAGTGAGGAATTTTATCGAGCGGGTGGTACCACTCTTGCCTCCTATGGTGTTTTCCGGCCTTCCGGGGGTCAAGTGACCACCCTTCCCCCAACGCGCCTGCTCCAGCGGTTCCTTCCACTCGCACGGCGTCGTATTGAGACCGCTCAAGCTCAGGTCTGCAATTTTTTAACTATTTGGTTGTATTTGGATTTTCAGCTCTCTGTCTGTTTATCTATGTAGCTCTACCTCTAGCTTTTCAGCTCACTTCATCTAATAGTTCCATTGTTTCGAGCATGCCTTATTATAGTTCTTAGTTGGCTCTCAAGGAACTTGGTAGAGATACTTAGGATGGTCATTGATTCTTTGTAATCTTTGTATGACCGCAGCAAGGCATGATTTGCAAACATTAGTAGACTTTGGATAATTCGTTGCCATTTGGGATTAATTCTTTTGAAGTTATGATGCTGATTCTGCTGAAGCAGTAAAATAAAAGGATTAAATATAGTCCACAAGGACCACAACCTTGCAAAGCCCCGACAGCCAGCACTGGCATGGCTTCATGGGTTGGGAAATTAAGAAGAAATAACAAAGAATGATAATTAACTTGTTAGGCTACTGCATAAGAAAATTATTTCAACCATTTCAACTACTTCATCATGCTTTACTTTTAATTTGCACCACCTCTATTATTGTAGTACAACACGTAGTGAATTGAGATGATATACAAATGACAGTACTCTTATTCATGTGGTGCATGCTTGTTAAGTCAATTGCGTTAATCATTCTCTTGAAGGTTAAGCTTACACCAATAATTACAGCATTAGCCATAGATTTCACATAATCCCCACTGCTAATCATATATTCTCTTTCTCTAACTTGATTGTATTCTGAAGTTCCAACTAAAGTCAATATTTTATGTAAAAGTTAAGAAAGAAAAAAAAAGATTGATAATGAACCCATTGGAATAGAGAAGAATCTTGTATATAGAACTGCAAAGCAAAACAATAATTGAACCCATTAGACCCTCATAAACTTCTGACTCCAACACACATCATTACAAGCAGAATTATACATACCCTTGATCAAGAAACAACATCTCTGCCTTTTCATCTATACTCAATCCTGAACTTGAAGTCCCAAATACGGTATAGATGCTGTCTCTACCAATCCTGTCATAACAAAACTGCCTGGGAAAAAAATTAATCTTATTATTCTGAAATGTGAAATATCATCCAGTACTAAACATAATTATACGAGCATTGGCAGACTAAGTACTAAGAACCCACCTCAGTCCACAAGCAAGTGATGTTAAGGACACTGTTTGCCATTCCCAGGGCACCTCTCATCACTTCAAAATCTACCAGTCCACTCCAGTTTCCTGCTAATTTCACCCAAAAAAGTGTTTGATTTTAACCTTTGTTATCAGAGTCGTTCTGTTTGAGTCAACTGAAAGCTAGTTGGAGCTGAAAAGTGATAACATCTTCTTGTTAATTGCCTTTGGGCTTTCCTCCGCCATTGAAAAAGAAAATTTCAGGCGACATTCTGACACTTTTGAGCCTTGAAAGCTGGGTTGATTGGCATGGAGAAAACATGGCGTTAAAGCTTCTGTGGGCATTGAGAAAAAGGGCATGGCTTTAGTTTTTGGAGGAACTTAGCTTGGGTGAGTCTAAGAAACTTCAAAAGGAAGATTGAACTAGAGATGTGAATAGCGCATAAACCATTTCTGGTTTTAGTAATGTATTTGAATTTGATTTTTGAAACTTGGGTGCTTAATGCTTAATGAATTATCCAAATTCTTTGTAATAACCATAATGAAAAAGTTAGAAATAGTTACAAGTGGTCATCCTAGACTTGTAATTCCTTTTGAGCTCCTCTTATTTGTGTAGAACTGGTACCAACATTGTCATTTGTTACTGTGCATTGTCTATATCTTTCACCCAATGAGTCAGTGCCTTTTGCCATTGAGTGAATGTTTGTATGGCTATGGTTGGTTTGGCATTAATCTAACATGTGATGTTTTTCTTCATTTTGTTATGTGGGAAACTTGCAGGATGGGCAATATCCCCAACCTTCTGACCCTGCTTATGAGCAAGTACTGGATTCCTTAGCTATGGTAGCTTGACATAAACGCATAACTCTTTTAGAAGCCCTTCTAAGATGGAGAGAAAGGTGGGTTTCTCCCTTTTCCAAAGATATGCGGAGGCATTGTTGTTGATCTGAGTTATTCATTGTTTTCGGTCTAACCATATCATTTTGTAACTGGGAAAATATTTTTCTTGCAGTGAATCCCCAAAAGGTGAAAATGAGGCATCTACATTCCAAAGAAAGGTTTGTATGGGGACTAGTTTGTCAAAAGCTTGTTTCTTTGACCAGATGCGTTTGTACTTTATTGTATATGGTGGAGGTCAAGAAAGTTCAGCCTCTAACATCAATGCAGTTCATAGCTCTTTATTGCATAAAATAGCATCTAAAAATATCAGAGTTTATGAGTTTTTTCATTATTTTCAATATATGTCAATATATATGTATTTGTTATTGGGGGAGTCTGCTTCATTAGTTATAACTTTCATACTATGTTTACTGGAGCCCAGCATGTGGTGGAGTGCATTTTTTGTTCAGCATGTATTCCCTTTTTCGAGTGCTGTCCACAAGAAGGACTTACAGGTTAGTTCATTGCATTGCTATTTTATTTTACCTTGAGGCTTGTGAAGTTGTGCTATTCAGTGAAATAAAACAAGCTTTGTTCTTACCGCAGAGAAACTTTGGTTGGGGCTTGAAATCTCTTTACCAACAAACACAACAACCCAATTACTCATTCTCTACTCTAGCACAGAACCAAACAACACCCACCAAGAATTTCAAAACATTCTCCCATATTTTCCAGCAATGCTCCCATGGCAGAGCTCCGAATCCGGGAAAACAAGCCCATGCTCGCATGATAGTTTCTGGGTTTGAGCCCACTGTCTTTGTTAAAAATTGTTTGATCCAAATGTATGTAAAGTGTGGCTTTTTGGAATATGCAAGTAAGGTGTTTGACGGAATGCCACAGCGGGACACGGTCTCGTGGAACACCATGATTTTTGGGTACGCTGAGAGTGGAAAGATGGGGTTTGCGCAGTCTTGTTTTGATGTTATGCCTGAGAGAGATGTGGTCTCTTGGAATTCTTTGATTTCAGGGTACTTGCAGAGTGGTGACTATCATAAGTCTATTGAAGTTTATGTGAATATGGGGAATGCGGGTGTGGAATTCGACTGTACTACGACTGCTATGGTTCTGAAAGCATGTTCTGTTATGGAAGATATTGGTTTGGGGATTCAAATTCATTGTGTTTCAGTCAAGATGGGTTTTGATATTGATGTGGTCACGGGAAGTGCTTTAGTAGATATGTATGGGAAGTGTAAGGAACTGGATTGTTCACTTCAGGTTTTCCGTGAATTGCCTGAAAAGAATTGGGTTTGTTGGAGCGCTGTGATTGCAGGTTCTGTTCAGAATGACCAGTTTGTCAAGGGTATAGATCTGTTTAAGGAGATGCAGAAAGCAGGAGTCGGGGTAAGCCAGTCAATCTATGCTAGTGTATTCAGGTCCTGTGCAGGATTATCTGCATATAGGTTAGGCACTCAGTTTCATGTACATGCTATAAAGACAGACTTACTATATGATGTGATAGTTGGAACTGCCACATTGGACATGTATGCAAAATGTGGCAGTATGTCTGATGCTAGAAAGATATTCAACTTGATGCCAAATCATAGTTTGCAGTCATATAATGCAACTATTGTTGGCTATGCTCGAAACGAGCAAGGTTTTGAAGCTCTTGAGTTATTTCTGCTTTTGCTGAAGTCTGGTCTTGGTTTTGATGAGATAACATTATCTGGTGCACTCAGTGCTTGTGCAGTGATCAAGGGGCACTTGGAGGGGCTTCAACTGCAAGTATTAGTGGTTAAGAGTAGCTTGAGATCAAATATATGTGTAGCAAATGCCATTTTGGACATGTATGGTAAATGTGGAGATCTGTTTGGGGCCTCTCGCGTGTTTGATGAGATGGTAAGTAGAGATGCTGTGTCTTGGAATGCAATTATTACAGCTCATGGACAGAATGAAAATGAAAAGGAGACACTTTCATTCTTCATTTCCATGCTCCGCTCAAGGATGGAGCCGGATGAGTTCACCTTTGGCAGTGTTCTAAAAGTGTGTGCAGCTCAACATTCTTTAAATTATGGGATGGAAATCCATAGCAGAATTATTAAATCTGGAATGGGCATGAACTTTTTCATTGGAGGTGCCCTTGTCGATATGTACTGCAAGTGCGGAATGATGGAAGAGGCAGAAAAGATACATGACAGAACAGAAGAACAAACCATGGTTTCATGGAATGCAATCATATCTGGTTTCTCACTACATAAGCAAAATGAGGATGCACAGAGATATTTCTCTCAGATGTTGGAAATGGGTGCAGAACCTGATAACTTCACATACGCAACGGTTCTTGATACCTGTGCTAATTTGGCTACTGTTGGACTTGGGAGGCAGATCCATGCTCAGATTATCAAGCATGAATTGCAATTAGATGTATACATAACCAGCACTCTTGTCGATATGTACTCAAAGTGTGGCAACATGCAAGATTCTTATCTAATGTTCAAAAAGGCACCTAAGCGAGATGCTGTTACATGGAATGCCATGATTTCCGGGTATGCAAACTTCGGCCTTGGAGAAGATGCCCTTAGAATTTTTGAGAACATGCAGCTTGAGAATGTTAAGCCAAACCACTCCACTTTTGTTTCAGTACTCCGAGCCTGCGGACATATAGGACAAGTTGAAAAGGGGTTACATTATTTCCGCACAATGCGTAATGACTATGGTTTACACCCTCAGTTGGAGCATTACTCGTGTATGGTGGATATCATAGGGAGGTCAGGTCAAGTTCATGAGGCTCTGAGGCTTATTCAAGATATGCCTTTTGAAGCTGACGACATTATATGGAGGACGCTGCTTAGCATTTGCAAGCTCCATGGAAATGTAGAAGTGGCTGAAAAAGCAGCCAGCTCTATTTTGCAACTGGATCCTCAAGATTCTTCTACCTATGTTCTACTATCAAATATATATGCTGAAGCTGGAATGTGGGGTGAGGTCTCGAAGATGAGGAAAACAATGAAGCATAACAAATTGAAGAAAGAGCCTGGTTGCAGCTGGATTGAGGTGAAAGATGAGTTACATGCATTCCTGGTTGGGGACAAGGCTCATCCAAGATGTAACGAGGTGTATGAGAAGCTCAATTTTCTAGTTGCTGAGATGATGAGAGTTGGATATAGGCCGGAAATTGATGTCCTGCTTGATGAGGAGATGGAAGAACAGGAGCTTGAAGATAAGCTCAAAATTAGTATGCATAATGAGTAGTTTAAAATTCATTTTTCTTGTTAGAATTCAGAATACGGAATGAGCTGGGAAATGAATATGAATGAGTTGGAAAACAAGTCAAACAACATGTTTACAAGAATGACCAATTTTTGCAAGTCCAATCCGCAAAACAGTTCTTAATTTAGCCTCCTTCATATGAGCACAGTTACCTTATCTCGCATCAGGTGACTGAATATCAAGTTATCATATTTGGAATTGATGGAATTTGCTATCATTATCCTCCACTCCTAATAATTTGATACCTTTTGCAGCGATAAATAGTTTTTTTACCTGTACAAATCATCATGGTGGTCCTGGAATTGTCTTGTTTATTTTGTGAATATTCTCATTTTCAAATCTCTTGTACTTGCCACTAATGGGGCCGTTGGTGCATGATAAATTCATGTGCCACAGTTACAGAGGCATCTTTTGGTATTTGGATTTTCACTCTGATTATATGCTAGAATTACAGGTTTTTCTCCCAAAAGGGTTCTTCTCATATTCTGTGGTTGTAATGTTTCCCTTGAAGTTGGCTTTTAAATGTTTTCTTTGGGATGGTATGGTTGGTGTTTGGTGTTTTATTTCCTTTTACATTGTCAGGTCAACTGTTTTTTTCCTCCCCTTTGTAATTATTGTTAAATATGATTTTTCTATCAAGCTAGTGCTGTTTATATTTTTCATTTAATTGCATCCTCCCCTAGCATGTTTATATTTTTCATTTAATTTTATGCATACATTTTTTGTGTCAGGTTGGTTACCCTTTGGTAACTCTTCTATGTCTTGGTGATGGTGCAATTTTCATCAACAACTTAAGCTCTCACTTGGATCAACTCTACAAGTTTCTTAGAGTGAGTCCAAGAACAAATTTGCATAGAGGACAATAAAGCATGCATTTGTTTAATTGGTTGTTGTGTCCCTGGTCCAATCATTTTGTCTTATCATGTTAATTTGTTGCGGGTTAGGAGCCTATCCTTATGGTCTTTCATTCAGGTGTAAGTTGTATGACATTATGACATTATGTGGTTTGTTCATTTAGGACAAGACCCATCGTTTAATGGCCTTGGACTGTCTTCCCTGAGTTTTGAGCTTTTACTTGAGAGTCCACACAGAGGATCAGCCACCTAATTGTACATGAGACTACTTAGACAGTGTAACCTCACAACACTTGACAGTTCTGAAGAAAGGAATGCTTACTCAGGACATCCAACATGATAAACTTGTGGAGTTCTGTGTGACCTTGATTTTGCCATGAACCATATGATAACTCAAATTGCTGAAGCAAGATAGTACTAGTGAAGCAAAGGTTATTGGTCTCTGTTCTTTGCTTGCCATTGTCATGTCAACTTCAAGTAGCTGAAGTTTTCAACTGATCTGCATTTCAGTCTTCATTTGCCAAAAATATGAACCTGAACCAATATTATAATCGATGTCTTGAAAGAGCATGAGGTGTGTTATCTTCCTATCTTTAACCATTCTCTATTCATTCCCCCTGTCCTGCTTTTCATTTGAGTTGCAATGTTGCAAATGTGTATCTTATTGTGTTTCATTCATGGATCTTTTTCTAATGTTTCAGGGATGACATCATGCAGAGCTGCTATTGGGATTTTGGCATCCATTTGATTTTGGACGAGAATCTGATGCAACCCCTCCTGACATGACACTTCAATCTGTAATATTTGAGAGCCTTGATAAGAACAGGTGGGCTTGTTGTCTTAGTGAGCTTGTCAAATACGCAGCTGAACTTTGCCCAAGATCTGGCCATGAGGCAAAGTAAGTATATTGTTGTTTACGTATAGTTATTTTAACACATGTTTATTTTAATTTCAAAAAAAGATGTATGTTCCTTTCCAGTATTGGCGTGCTCTTCTGAGTTTGAACTTATTGTATTTAAGAGTGGCTCAACTAAAGAAGGGATTACTAATTTGTAGAGTTTGCGAAGAAAAAAAAAATCTTGGGTTGAACATACACGTTAAATGTTTTTGTTAGACACGATTTCAGTGCATTTGTGCTGGGAGCATGATTTTGCTTGTATGGCTATATTGCTCTTATCTTTTACATGCTTTATTAGGATCAGTATTTCCAGGTCAACCCAAATTTCAAGACTGAAATTCCACTATCTTATCGCAACACAATCTTTATTTTTAGGGCAGAGGTTATGCAACGTCTGGCTCATATCACATCTGTTGAGTTGGGTGGGAAGGCTAATCAGTCACAAGATGCAGACAACAAATTGGATCAGTGGCTTATGTGTGCGGTGTGTATGTTCGTCCACCAAATAATAGAGAAGCTGGTAGTATAGTCGCAACCCAAGATCTTTACCACCTAATTTTGTCCGTCTCTAAAATCTCGATCTGAGGCACATATAGTAAGTACTGTGAGAGGTTTGTTTAATTTCAATAAAACCTTTCTCTATTCTCTTTTTCTTGTTTCTGTGAGTACAATAAATTTGTCGTGGGGTGTCAGAATCTGGGGTCAGTTCTAAATCCATACTGTAGGATGCTATTATGTTACTACTAGTTTGAGGTCTGTAAGGGTTTGCTCTAATTAGAGAACTTATAATCTTTTTCTTTGATAACTGTTCCATGTTTCTTGATTCTATTCAACTGGTTAGACTAAATTTCGTCTCTAAATTTAGCATGCAGCCGCAATGACTCTTGGCCGCTCGCATCTGGAAGCTTGTGAAATCATGTTTACTGAGCTTGCTGCATCTTTCATTGATGAGGTTTCTTCTTCGGAGACAGAGGGAAAACCAAAGTGGAAGGTGCTGTATGGTTAAACTCCTCAAATTTCTTTTATTTGATGCTTTGACATTTGAAGAAGACACTGAGCATTATGGCATTATCTATGTTCTGAATATATACTATCGAGTGCGTCGATTTGCAGTACTTTATAGTTCTGTCACTTGATATTGAACTCTAGAGGACTTATGGTATACTTATGATATTTAATAGTACTTCTAGAATTTTTTTATTTATCATGTTATTACAATTTACATATCATAACTAAATGGGTGAATTTCGTATCTAATATAACAACTTTCATAATAAGCATGGCAACCTCTCATTCCATGACTTTGATTTAGAAATTCACTTATAGCGACATCAAGACAATCATTGCAATGCAAGTCATAAAGGTCCCAAGTGAATTGAGCTGCACCATAAACTAAATCCGTGCTCGATACCCCAAACATGAGGTTCCCATAAGCATACAACAATCGACTAACATAAGCTTGAAAGCATAATTTGAATAACAACTCATGACCTGTTTTTATCAAACAAGGGAGCATCAGTGATTTTGTATTTTTGCTATAATAATTCCATTAATTGTGTCAATTTCATGTAAGAAATAGGCATCTAAGTATTTTAAGAGACAATCCTTGTACCAAATTATACCTCCTTTCTTCGCGAATCTCTTGACTTGCTATATTAGCACAACTGTTGCAAATCGAGGCGGATTTAAAATTCCAACATTGCCCATATACATTATAAGCAACATCAAATTCGATGTAGTTTAGATAAACGATCCAAGTTAGTGACTCAATTTCCATCTAGATTAATTGTTAAGAATAAACTAATATTTAGAAAAGTCTTGAAAATAAAAGGGGATTTAGTGAGTGCCTTCTCATAAAAAATATTTCAAGTAACACAGAACTAGCCTCTCCTCTGCAAGTGCTTCCGCACCTGCGAAAGGTTTTTTTAAAAAAATTTAAAATTTATTTTAGAATTTAAAAAGGTAATGGATAGTTTTATTCCATAAAAATAGGATCTATTATCTGATTTTTCTTTTAATTTTAATTTTTTTAAAATATGAAAAACTGTGAATTTATCATATTATCCTTATTTAATTAATAATTTCAATTCTAAATGTTTGTATTAACCAATGGTACTTTCTGATATTTTGAATGTTTTCCAATTCTCTGCCTTTTGATTTATATATATTAGCTTCTCTGCACGCGCCTCCGAGCCTGGGAGAATCTCTTTTTTAGAAATTTTAAAATTTATTTCATAATTAAAAAAAGATAATGGGTAGTTGTGTTCCATAAAAATAGGATCCATTATCTAATTTTTCTTTTAATTTTAATTTTTTTAATATGAAAAAGTGTGAATTTACCATATTATCCTCATTTAATTAATAATTTCAATTCTTAATGTTTGAATTAACCAAGGGCATTTTCTAGTATTTTGAATGTTTCACCATTCTTGACCTTTTGCTTTATATATATAGATAAATGAGAGAAATCGCCCATGATACTAGGATCGTGCCATTGGAGAGTTATTGACCACTGAACCAGCAGTCGTCGGTGTTGCTTTTTCGAGTACCGACGTCGAGCCGATGAGACAAGAGATCACCTACGGTCAGTTCGCCTAGAAATCGGTTCTGTTATGGCAATTTTTGGCAAGCACCGATGGCAGCAAATTGAGAGCGAGAGGCTATGAGATTTGGGCTCGACGACCACTTCACAGCTTGGACTATAGGTTGTAGACAACAACAAAGACTATGCAAGCAAAGGAAAAAAAAGAGGAGAATGAAAAGACAGAGAAGAAGAGGAAAAGGAGAGAGAAGCATAGAGAAAATTTTCAACAAAAAAAGCAAAGAGAAAAATGGATGGAAAAAGAGAGAGGATAAAATAAAATAAGATGAAGAGAGGTGGAGAAGAAGAAAAAAAGATAGAGAGAAACAGTTGGGAAGAAGAAAAGAGAGAGAGGTGTCAGGGTGTTAGGGTTACCCTAACATGCTTATAATATATTTTTTTTAGTATAAGTGATAGTTTAAACTACAAAATAGATTTCTCAAACACACATACAACTATAATGTCGTGGGGTTCAAAACTGAGACCTCTGATCTGCAAGTCAATGTCCTTTTTCAACTCGGCTAGACCCTGTTGGTGCTTATAATATTTTTAAAAAAAATTCGAATGGAGAGTGAATAAATAATGCGCTTATACATATATTACATAGGAAGACTAACTATTTTCGTGCTAGCTGTCACATCCCGGGATCGGTTCTGTCGTAGCACGATATTGTCACATAAGAAGACTAACTCTCTGCCCTCACGGTTTTGTTTTTAGGAACTCACGAGCAACTTCCCAATGGGTCACCCATCTAACCCCAACTTGCTTAACTTCGGAGTTCCCATGACTCTGAAGCTAGTGAACTCCCAAAATGCCTCGTGCTAGATGGAGGTGGGGATTGACATATAAGACATATCACCCCCTCTCTGTTAGTCGATGTGGGATGTTACACTAGCTGACCTTTGCAACCTTGAGGATTGGTGTTCAAGTTGCCCTTGGGCGTGTTCGGTCTAAATCAGCGGTTTGTAATAGTGGAATCGTGAATTAGACTAGTTTGGTCCAACTTTTTTTTAAATTTTCAGAAGAAATGCCCAACCCTAGTTTTCTCTATGAAGCGACGTTGTATATTTTGTTGGGCTTTCTTTGTAATTTAAGTTGGAAGCACGTTGTATAATTTGTTCAATTTTCTTCTCTAGGAATTAGAATACCACCCTCCACCTAAGAATATAATTCCTCCAAGATAAGAAATTCAATTCCTAATTTTGTGTGGACTCCACTTACTTTTTAATTTCTTATTGTGAAATAACGCATGAATTCTCTATACGTGAAATTCAATTTCTAATGAGAATTCTAATTCTTTATTAGTAAACACAAACATCTATGACACACAAACACCACGAGTATAGAAAGAGAAAAGTCAGCCAATCATGACTCAGTCTTCCTCCAAAGAACAACTAGAAAAAACAAGAACGAAGAAAATATTAAATAATAAAATGTTAAAACTGATGTACTGTCGCTCTACGTTAAACTGGTTAGAAAATTACGAATTGTTAATATCAAAATAATTGACCAAAAGAAAAAAGAAAAAGGAGAGATAAAAGAACAACCACTTTCTGTCTTTCCTGCACTTTCTCCTAAACCCAACTCCTCCGTGCCAACGCTTATCTGAGATTTCTGGGTACCTCAGAAGTCTTGGATTTAAGCTTGTTCTGTAGCAAAAAGAGTATAAACAATGCCCAATTGGGAGCTGAAGAGTTGTTGCAAGCATGACCAGGTCGTATTCTTAGCGACTATTGGAGTCTTCACCGTTGTGATCCTCGCGGTATGTCAACTTTGGCCTTTTTGCTTTCATTAGAAACTATTTGACTCTGTTTGTTTCCCGAGAAAAAAGAGAGAATAAATTTAAGAGTGGTCTCTCTGATGTATTTGTTCTGCTTTCTTGAAGCTTAAGCGGGTTGAGTCGACTTGTTGACCAGATAGTTCCATTGGGTTTAAATAAGGGAAAATCTGAGGCCCAAGATGTTATAATTCTTAATAGAAGTTTCTTGTTGATTTTAATGGTGTTTTCTTGGTAGTTGACTGTTGTGGGGAAGTTATGCTAATTAGCTAAATACACAATGAGGCTATGTGGTAGATTAGAATTTAGGAAGCGGGTTAATAGCTACCAAAATAAAACTTTATTAGTTTTAAGGTATTGTATTTAACATTTTATACGTTTTCGCGTGTGAGGCTATCCCAAGTTTTTATTTTCTCCACAAACCAAATGTCTCTTTGGAAATTATCATTTTGAGAAACTTTTCTAATTTTTTTCCTTTTAATGTCAAACAAGAATGCAAAAGTTTCAACTTCATCTTAGAACCAACATGTAAAAAGGAGGGATTAGCAATGAGGGAAGATGAAAACATGCAACCAAGATGGTTTGTTCATGTGTAACTAGTGACTCTGGTTGATAAGACTATTGACATTGCACTTGAAAAGTTCGTGGTGCTGTTTGAGGTCGTGAGAAAAGATTTAATGAATTTGGGTCAAGGATATGAATATAGAAGAGTAGTAAAGAACACTTTATTTGGTTAATGTTGCGTGATTTGGGGAGGGCCTTGTTATGTTGCCTAGCTTTAGTTTGCCTATCTATGTATCTTGCAGGTCAAATTGCAGCTTTTTAAAATCCTTTTTTTATAAAGTTTTTAATCAATCTCATTAATGGTTTAGCATTTACTTGATCAAGTTGACCTTTTGATCTAGAAGTTTGTTTTGGTTGTTAAAGCTGTGGAGGACAATAATACTCACACCTTTTAAGCTCATCACGGTGTTCTTGCATGAAGCAAGCCATGCAATTGCTTGCATACTCACATGTGGCAAGGTATGAAGAAGTTATTTTTTGTTTTCTGTTATCTTTGGTGCTTAAATGATGTGATCAGATGGCATAGAGGAAACAATGGTTACTTTCTTAAATAGATATCTATATTTCAGTTTATCAAAACTTGGTCTTTTATTTTCAAAGTTGTTTGCTTGTTGTGTGAGAATTCACCTCTCTTTTTACACAAGTTTGAGTTTACACTGAGTTCTGATTGATTGAGGCATTGAAAGAAACCTTAGCCGGCAATGTTGTTCCTCACTTGCCTAACAATATTCAGTTTAGAAGTTAGATCAACACTCACATTTTACTTTTCTACACAAGCTTATAGGCCGCTTAACATGCAAGCTTTCGGTGAAGAAGGACTAGAACTTGCTTTGCTTTGGTCCATTCTGTTTTGGTCAGGGGCTTAGCAATTTTTTTTTTTATAGTATATGACCTTAGTTTAAATGTCAGATAATGGGCTAGCTTAAATAGTCAAACGGAAAATTAGCTGCCCTAAATTATAGATGAGGATGATACATTTTATGCTACTCTACACTTGAGAAAGTCCAACTGTAACTTTTCACTTTCAAAGCTTGTTGGTAGTTGAACAGTTGCATATCTTCGATAAGATGTTATAATTATTTCTAATACTATTATCATTTTTATTGTTATTATTGTTATCATCATAATTATTAACTTTCTCATTATTATCGTTGTTCTTATTTTATTATTTTTTGTAAATGTTATGTAATCTTAGGATCTCATAATTTTCCTAAATGTTTCAAATTTAGAATGATTGAAGCTTATCAATGGTGAATGTAAGCACATTGTACCAAGTGTTTCGGTTTTGAAGGCCGACTTACATTAGGCCAGCTAACACATGCCAGTTCGTTAAACATCTTTAGTTTCTAGGTAAGTAGCATCCTCAATCATGGATTTCTAATTTTAATTCGTTTTCAGGTGGAAGGTATCCAGGTTCACGCAAATGAGGGTGGGGTCACACAAACACGTGGCGGTATATATTGTTTGATCTTACCTGCAGGATGTAATACACTTTTGTCCCTAATCTTTATTTTTCGTTTCAATGTAACCTTATTTTTGTCCTTTGTTATGAGACATTATTTATTGGCATTTGGCATTGACTTCGAAAAGCAATTTTGGAAGTTTTGAGCATGATATGATTGTCTTAGTGGATATGTGCGTACATAGTTAACCATATTAAGTTTCTCAATTTATCACACTTGCATTTGATGTGCACAAGCTAAGTTTTCTCCACAATTTGTTATATTTCATCTTCAGTGCATGTCTAAGATGTGTATGAGTATATGATAGGGGCCAAATAGTCTGTGTTGGCACAAACATGGCTTCTGATGCTAAAATAGGACTCTTTTAGAAGTTCTCATGGTTTTTATAATTTCATGCATGCTGGTGTTATATGAAAACCATGCAGGCTTTGAATTTACTTTTTTTTTTTTTTTTTTTGGGTCTAATTACAGTTGTCTTTTCTGTTAAACTAAATAGTTTTGCATTCTTTAAACTCTTTCCACTCTTTCATATTCAATTTAATGTAATCTGATTTTCAATGGTATACCTGGTCTAAAGTGCTTTCTGCATCCAGATCTAGGCTCATCATTTTGGGGAATGGCTTTGATACTCGCGTCCACGAATCTCCTAACTGCTCGAATTGCTGCTGGTTGTTTGGGTGTTGCTCTGCTTGTTGTTCTTTTTGTGGCAAAAAATGTAAGAGAGTTATGAATACATATTCCTATTCGCATTTATTAAGCATATGCAGACAATTTTATGTTTTAGCTCCATTTTCATAGTTAGAGCTTTCAGGATATTAATTTCCTCATTCTTGCGTTCTAAATTCTATTGTTTTATACAGTGGACACTTCGAGGACTTTGTATTGGTGAGTACTTTCACATTGGTTTAATACGTGCTGGTTTTTATACTATCCACATTCTTCGATTCATGATTGATCATTGTTTTCAGGATTCATTGTATTCCTTGCTATAATTTGGGTTCTGCAAGAAACAACAAAAGTCCGTATTCTTCGCTACGTTATTCTCTTTATTGGTACATTCTTATCTTTTCAAGCCTTTACTTTCTGAGATGAACTTGTTTTGGAAATGAAAAGTTGCTTATTTTTCCATTTGAAATTGCAGGTGTGATGAACAGTTTGTTTTCAGTTTACGGTATCCTCAATGGTCCTTAACAGATAAATTACCTATTCTGAACTTCCAAATTACAGATGTTTTAACTTGTGACTATTTTCACAGATATTTATGATGATTTAATATCTAGAAGAGTCAACTCCAGTGATGCTGAAAAGTTTGCAGAAGTTTGCCCCTGCCCCTGTAATGGGGTTGGATGGGGTGTGATATGGTGAGCTTTGTTCAGAGATATGTTTAGCTGTAATGTTCAGAGAGTCGTACTAATGATTAAATCTTGAAGTTTCCTTTCTTGCATAACCTAATAGTCTCTATACGCAGGGGACTGATATCATTTATCTTTCTTTCTGCGTCGGTGTACCTAGGGCTCGTCATTTTATCCTGAGGTACTATATGCTGCTTCACTCTGTTTTAGAAGAATATCTGGAATTTGTTATCCAATTTTATCTGAAAAAGATTACTCTGCGTAACTAATGATCATAGTTAGTTTCCGAACATTGTATTTGGAAGAGTTGATTTTGCTTGAATGTTTTGAGAGCATTTCCATGAACCAATTGTGGAACCATTATAATTGTCAATTGTGAAAGTAAAGCTAGAAAAATCATTTCCATGAACCAATTGTGGTCACCTTAATACTATGTACGATATATTCCTCCCTGTAGATGATGTGCCTAGAGCCTCCTCCTGTCGAGAAATATAGTGAAATTTATAGACATGAGATTTATCATTCAAGGATTTAATTTTATATTTTCTTGAATCATTCAAGGATTTGCTCCACTCTCAGATTTGGAAATGATTATTCTTTTATTTGTTAGTAACAAAGATACCCTCGGGCCTCAAATTGTGCAATAGTATTCCAACCCTGCACAACTTTCAAAGGAACATTCGTAAGGGGAAGAATATATATTTGTTTCTGTAGATAATGTACCTAGAACCTCCTCCCTTCTGGAAACATAGTGAAATATATCTACATGGGAATTATCATTCAAGGATTTACTATGTTCTCTGATTTGGAAATGGTCATGCCTTTATTTATTAGTGAAGCAGATGCCCTCAAACTGTTAGTAAGGTGTGCTAAAAAGCACAGTAGTAATTGTCCTCTTTTTTGTGTAATACTTTGCTGAAATTGCTTTGACATTCCCTTTATTAGAAAATATTTGGTTTTAAAAAATTTGGGGTTTGCTTTAGGAAAGCTTTCGAGTTTTATTAGCTTTATTCTTGGTTATAGGCTTATAGAAATCATGAATGAAACTTATAAATATTAGATCCCTAATAATATTATCTCTAATACTTATGTGTTCTGTTATTTTCAGGTTCAAACGATTTTTTAGCCTAGTCATCTCGTTGCGACAGGAAGCTTCAGCTATCACTTATTCTTTTCAGTCTCTCCATTGATGAATAGTTAGTTTCACAGAATACTGCATTCTTTCAACCCTTTTGATTCTGGGTTACACCTCGTGATAGTTATTGTATAGGAAAGTTTGTACTGGTGTATCATAACAAAGGCTTAAAGGTGATTTAAAGAAATTGATGTGAATTTCCACGAGTGTAAACCCGAACCTCGAACTGATTTATGGGGACTGCAGAGCAATCCTAGCTTTCTTTTTGTCCAGGTTGATTTATTTCTTGCGCAAGATTTTCTTCTTTTAAGATTTGAAATGTCCTCTTTTGAAATGCACCTGAATGTGCAAAGTTTTGATGACAAATTTGAAATTAAGCCGACTCAGTTGGCTTTTATCTTTTGGTTCACTTCAAGATTCGACAGTATAAATTCCCAGCACCCGTTTTTTTATTTTTTATTTATTTATGAAGAACGTCCTCACTCTTGTTCATTGATGTGCTTTTGTGGTTGTGGGTTTGAAATTGTATAGAACCCCATAAAAAGGACATTTAAGTCAATGACTATCAAAAGCTAAAACTTGAAATCTCATGCAAAGCTCTGAGATGCTCCAGCATGGTTGCTGACCCTGCAAGTGGAGCATAGGTAAATTCTTACAATTAAATTGACCCCCATGAGACTATGCTACTAGAAGCAAGTTGACTTTGTAGGCACCATGAATATGGCAAAGTTTTAACTAGGCCCACAAATTTCTCTTTCAGTAGCATAATATACCCAAAGTGCAAGTGTAATGGGGAGGCAATAATGAGGAGTAAGGAGGATGCATTACAATTCATAGTAGGTTTTATCCACTTTTCTTCCTACTCAATTATCTTTTGACTATTCTTCTTGCGCAATTATTATTAACCTCAAAAGTTTAAGCTGTTAAAGAATGAATGAAAACTGAATATTAAGCTTAACTATCATGTCTAATTAAAAACACATTCAGCTTAAATAAAACTATTAATTATACACTCCTTATATTTTCAAATTACAAGGCACATGGTGAGCTCATCTCAGATGTAAGTAATCACATCCCATGAAATGCTCTGGGTAGCTAAGGGAAAAAGATAGTGCAACAAAGTAGAAAAAAAAAAAAAAATGCTTAGACCATTTGTATGGATCACATTGTAAACTAATAAACTATACAATGTCATAAAAGTGGTGTACAATAGTCCATGTAGAATTACCCAACTGAATATCAAGTCAGGTCAGTTGGTAAAATAAAAGTGATAATTGCTATATTTACAAAATTTCGAAAATAAAATTTCACTAAAAATTCGAAACAAATACAAGAAAATAACGACAAGGTAAATGTTAAGAATATTTTACAAATGATCGAGTCTAGAACTTGGTTCTATCTCCTTAAGATGAAATTGCCTCCTCACATGTGCTTTTAGGATTTGCTTGGCAAATGTCTCTCAGGATATAACGATCGACTTCTTGTTGAAGTAGCACTACAATCCCCAAGAAAAGCGGACTCAATAACTTGTGTATGAATTCTGTCTTACTAACTCACTATATTTCTAAAAAATATAATGCTATGAATGCTCTAAAGACTACTATTGTTTGATGACAATTGGATGAATGAAATGTTATAGCACCTTCTCTATTTATAGGCAACAAGGCCTCCGTTCAGAAAATATGTGACTAAAAATAATCAACAAATGTGTCTTTTCATGTTGCAACCATAAGCCAAGAAGTGCAATGTTTCAATTATTATGAAACAATGCAACTTAAGCCAAAAAGTGCAATGTTTCAATTTCTATGAAACAATGCAACTTTTCACATATGAAACAATGCAACTTAAGCCAAAAAGTGAAATGTTTCAATTTCTATGAAACAATGCAACTTTTCACATAAAGTATTATTATTTTATTCACAAACAAAATAAATAATATTTAATTTTTCCTCAGTTAAGAACATGACTATTCCCAATGGATATATACCAATTCATAAAAGTCATGTACTTAAAGTCACGAGTCCTATAATTTAATTTCCATTCAATTATTAAAAAAATATACATATATATATTATAATTTTCTAACAAGGTCTTCAGAAGTTTACGTGTAGTTCCATTGATAAATTTGAAAACTAATTCTTGGTCACCTTCATGCATTCCTCAGAGAGAGAGAGAGAGAGAGAGAGAGAGAGAGAGAGTTGCTCTCTAATTAAGGTCATCTCCAACCTATGAGGCTAAACCTAAAATATCCCAAATTATAGCCCAAAATTTCTCCCAACCCAAGAAAATGAAGATGTCAAAATTTGGGAAAACCCAAACTTGGACCCAAAAAATTTCAGTGGAGTCCACCTACATCTAGCACAGTTGGATTGGGGCTCGTGCTGTAACTTTTGTATGCTGCCTGACACAGCAAGTTGCCACGTGTCAGCTCCAGATTATGTTGTCGTTGCAATTCAAATTTCATTTGTTTTAAAAAAAAAAAAATCTAATAGTAACTTAAATCAACGATCTAGATTAAATATAAGCTATTTTAACGATTTAAAAAAAAAGATCCAACTGCTGAAATTTAAATCCAACTGTCAAAATAATATTTTAAATTAATCTAAATCAGATCTAACCCCAAAACTCACTTAAAACTCTACAAATATTCAGCAATTTCTCAATTAATCTACCAAGAATATTTTTTATATTTCTCAATTTATTTTACCTTTGTCAATTTCATCAATCTTCTTCCATTCTCATACTTTTGATATCATTTCAAGCTTTCAATGTATAACCGTGCAAGGCCATCTTTTCCTTTATGTTTGATGATGATTTAGATGATGAGGAACATCATCAGAGAGTGATACAAGCCATTGTCCACCATACTTCACTAGAAAATGAAGCCACCAAATATGGTGGGTTGGTAGTTGGTCGTGAGTACAAGAACCATGAGAGGGAAGATCACCATCGCAATCTTATGTTCGACTTCTTCATTGAAAGGCCACATTTTAATACTCCAGACTTTCGTAGACGGTTCCGAATGCGAAAAGAGTTGTTTTACTACATCTTGAATGATGTTGTTAACCAGAAGCCATACTTTCTCCAGAAAAAAGACGGGCTCGGCCGACAAGGGCTATCCCCTGAACAAAAGTTAACTGCTGTCTTTCGTATGCTCGCATGGGGATGCTCCACTGACGCGACCGATGAGTACTGTAGATTGGGTGAAAACACAGTTCTTGAATCACTCCGTAAGTTTCGTTGAGCTGTTGAAGCCGTGTATGGACAATGGTACCTAAGGTGTCCAAATATAGCTGATCTTTACAAGCTATTGCACAAGGCAAGCCGTCGATGCTTCCTAAACATGTTAGGAAGTCTTGACTGCATGCACTGGGAATGGAAGAACTGCCCATCTTCTTGGGCAGGCTAGTTTACGGTCACAAAAAATAAAAACAAAAAATAAAAAATAAAAAATACCCATTGTTGTGGTAGAGGTTGTGGCCTCGTACGACATATGGATGTGACATGCCTTTTTTGGAGCCACTGGATCCAACAATGATATCAACATTTTAGCTCGTTCTCCATTGTTCAATGATGTGGTACATAAAGTGGCTCCTCATGTTGAATAAATTGTCAATGGAAATCAATACCATTTAGGCTATTGGCAGATGAGATCTACCCTTGTTGGGCTACTTTGGTGAAGACCATCTCTTCTATTGATAACCCAAAGAAGAGGCTTTTTGCACAAATTCAAGAAGCGTACAGGAAGGATTTTGAAAAAGCATTTGGAATACTACAGGCTCGATGGGCTATTGTTCGGGGCCCTGCACGTATGTGGTGCAAGGATAACCTCCACTCAATCATGATGACGCGTATAATTTTTCACAACATGATTGTGGAGGATGAGTACGAATATGTTGAAGAGGAATTTGATGATGAGGATATGTGTCCACAACGATCCAGGAGGGCCAGAGCAAGACAATATGAGATAGAGCCAAGCATTGCATACGAGTACCACCAAGATAGGCAGACTCTCTCTGATTACATGATTCGTCATAATGGAGTTCGATCTCCACATGTGCATCAGAGTCTCCGACATGATTTGATCGATCACCTTTGGAGGAGCTTTGGAGATGGTGAATGAGACCGACAATTGTTTCAATCTTCCTTTTGTGTTTCAATTATCTTGTGTGTGTTTTTTTTTTTTATTTATTTTTTATGTTGTGTGTATTTGTGAAATTTCAAAATTTTTTTAAGGTCAAATTGTACAAAAAAATTAAATTATGACGTTATTTAAAAAGATTAAATGAAGAAAAGTTTTCCATTAAAAAAAAATAGACTTAAACCATTCTTAAACAATTTAATAAAGTTGCAGACTTAAAATTTGAGTCCGGAAGGGTGGGAGAAAAAACATTTGAGTCCGTTCAAAACCCAAATAGTTACTTTTTGGAGAGGGAAATTTGGGTTTAGCCCCAGGCCATCTCCAACCCAAAATATCCCAAATTATAGCCTCAAACCTCTCCCAACCTAAGAAAATGAAGGGGCTGAAATTTGGGAAAACCCAAACTTGGACCCAAATAGTAGTCCAAGTATTGCCTGGACCCAAAACTATTTGGTGGAGCCCACCTGCATTTGAAGCAGCCCCTATGTGCAAAGAATCTGATGTGGGCCCCAGCTCCTGCTGTGTTGCTTCTGTATGGCAGCTTGTCATGCCACATGTCAAGCTATTGGGAAGTTGCTGTTGGAATCCAACGGCAACAGTTCAATTAGTTTTTTTTTTTTTGGGTATTCTAAATGCAACTTAAATCAACGATCTAGATTAAATCTAAGCTATTTTAACTGGTAACAAAAAGATCCAACGACTAAAATTTAAATCCAACGGTCAAAATAATATTTTAAATTAATCAAGATCAGATCCAACCCCAAAACTCACTCCAAACTCTATAAATACCCATCCATTTCTCAAATAATCTACCAAAAACATTTTATCTAGTTTTCAATTTATTTTTCCTCTGTCAATCTCATCAATCTCCTTTCATTCTTGTTGAAGATGTCCACAAAATCTCAAAGAGGTGTGAATTGGAGGCCCGAATAAGATAAGACATTGTGCAAAGGGTGAGTTTCTATCAGTAAAGATGGGGCTATTGGCACCAATCAAACAAGCGACACATTTTGAAAGCTGTATATCAAAAGTTTATGGAAAATGATATAGGCATTAGTGGACCCGAGCGACGAACATATCAAGCCATCGCTTCTCAGTTCAAGACTATCAACCAACAATGTTCTCTTTGGAAGGCATGCTTGACTAAGGCCAATACGAACCCACAAAGTGGCTCAAATCTACATGATGTGGTAAGTAACCATTCTTATTGAAGCTTTAAATTTATATTTGTAATTTTATTCAACTCCAAACTTAAATTTATTTTTTCATGCGTAGGATGTGTATACGAAAACGATCTTTCTTAATGATAATAAGCCTCCAAATAGGCCTTTCAAGTTGTACCATGCTTGAGAAATCTTAAAGTGGAATGATATAAATGAGCCTCCCACACAACGTTCTTCTAGAGCTAGTGCAAGTATGGTGAATTTGGATAATGACGCAGAGAATATCATCATGCCTAGAGGGGCGAGATAAACAAAAGGCTGCCCAAAAAAAAAAAAGGAAGATAGTTGACCCTTCCCAACAAACAAGGGATAAATACTTGGAATCATTGGTTGAGCAAGGTATTGCTTTCGAGGAGGATAGGAAACGAAAGCTCAACATATTGGACAAGTTTGTCCAAGATCAAGCTGATGCTTATGCTTATCAGAAACAACAAGATAAGGAAGCCCAAGAACAAAAAATAATGTCTATGGACGTGTCCAAATTTACTCCAAGAAAGAAGAAGTATTGGGGGGGATAAACAAGATGAAATTATGCAAGAACATGCACAGGGTCAATAGTCTAGCGTTAATCCTGAAGACAACTCAGGGGACTATTATCCAAGCCCCCACGATGGTGGTTATTAGTTTATTCCTATTGGGTTTCATGTATGGTGAATTTGAAGTACTGTGTCTTTTCTTTCAGAATTATGTTGTGTGTTTTATTTTGGAATAAAATTATATTTGTGGAATTTCAATTTTTTTAGGTCAAATTGTTCAAAAAATTTAATTATGAAGTTATTTAAAAAGATTGAACGAAAAAATGTTATCCATAAAAAAAAAAAAATTAAAAAAAAAGACTTAAACCATTCTCAAACAATTTAATAAAGTTGTAGACTTAAAATTTGAGTCCGGAGGGTTGGGAGAAAAAATTATTTGAGTCCAGGCAAAACTAAATAGTTACTTTTTGGAGGGAAAAATTTGGGTTTAGCCCCAAATGAGTTGGAGAAGGCCTAAGTGATCACACTGGTGTGGTTGCTTTTGCATATGTTGATCACCTCAATCAAAGAATGAATTCTAAATACTTTAGATGCATTTTGACATTAAAATGTATGATTAAGAGACAAGAAAGTGACAAGATCTTCAAACAGCCCCACGCACTATACATATTCTTGTTAGAAGTTGTATGGTGAATAGAATCGGTTATCCCTTTGCAGCTTGTTGGCTTTGTTTTGTGTAGAGAATTAGATATAAACCCAAAAGTATTAGGATTTATTATGAATAACTCAAGTAATTTTGGCTTCTCGATGTAACCATTCACTATTTTTCAACCGTCTATAATTGTCACTTCATCTTATTATCCCTGTTTTTCTTTTTCTCTTCTCCATTTTCTTTTGTCTTCTTCTTCTTTTCTTTTTCTCTTCATCATTTTGGGTTCGACTAGCATCAGATTCAAGATAGATTACCGAAATAGATTGATAATCAAACAATCAAATCTTTCATCTTCCAAACTGGATAATCAAAATCCTACCTTGTGATCTCTATCTCTACATGGATCCCTTCTTTATGGATTAGAATTAAGCACATGGTCTCCAACTAGCCTGCATTACGAATATTTTGGTGCATTTTATCATATCTTCTTCACTAGTCGAATGAATACCATTTGGATTTAAAGGGAGAAGTGGGACAGCATACTGCCTTGTGGATAAAGGAAGTAAGCAAATAGTGTACTTCATCGCTGCAAATTGCAATGTAACGATCTTCTTATTTCTTTCTTTCTTTTTTCCTCATCGTCCTCTCAGCTTAATGCAATATTTAGGGTGCTTTTTATGCAGGTGCATACTTGCAACCAGGCCTTCTCACTTCACTACTTTCTGCATTGCTACTGCAACTGGACCTTGACATGAATAATGTTAATGCATGCATGCATGCATGCCATTGAATTTATTGATTATTCCCTCTCAAATGAGGTTTGAGTGACATATCAAACAAGCATAAAACAAAAAGTAATAGGGAAACAAAATATCAATTATGGAAACTTACAGCAACTTAATCTGCTTCTTGTTGAGAAATTGGCTGCCATCTTTGCAACTTAATCAGCCACTGAAAATGAAAATCTAATTCAAATCGTCTATACCAAACCAGACCATTACTTCTTTCTGAACAAACTTCACCATAGATAAATACATATTAAAACACATTGATAAGTTTGATACAAATATATATGTACGACAAAAAAGAAGTGAAAATCAGGCTACATATATGTGGGATGCTAGCTAGGTTCAGTTGGAAGTGGGCTACATTTCAAATAAGTAATGGCTTGTTTGGTACGTCGGACTGTACTTATTAATTTTTGTTGGATAGTATTAATCTGTTCCGGAGAGTATTGATTGTTTATCCATTATATTATAAGGTGTTTGGTGCTGTTTTGGATAAATAGTCTAACTAAGTTATACTTGTTTGGTGCTCCATTAGATAACATTGGATCAAACTTTTTTTTTTTTTTTTTAATTCTTTGATAATTTAAGTGGAAATTTAAATTCACATGAACCAAATTCTGCACCAAGCCATAATATGCAAGAACCATAATCTAATTATAAAGTATGCCATAATCTTTCCTTCATCCATATCCAAGCATAATATAAAGGAAAATTAGTAAAAGCAATTTAGGGAGAGAGAGAGAGAGAGAGAGAGAGAGAGAGAGAACACAGTTTATGTCATTCAATGTCGCTGGAGAATATTTGATTCACGATTTCTTACTGAAGCATGTGTTTTTCAAGCCTAAGTGGTTGCTAGTTAAAGAAAAAAGGAGAGTCAAGAAAAAAGCACTGCGAAAGGGTTATTATTCAAGCTTCGAAAAAAGCACTGGAACATCTAATATCAAGCTTCCATTTGAGTTTAATT